ATGTGGAAAAAGAAATAAAAATATTACCTGTAAAAATAATTCCCAAAACGAAGCCGAAAGAAGACAGCTGACCCAACCGGAGCAAAAGAAATGAGCGTTTCCTCATTAACGGCCGTTATAAAAAAGCTGCGCATGTGCAGAAATTAAGAATCGTTAATTTTTAAAGTAATATAAGCTTTCTGCCCATGCGCAAGAAAATATCATTGGTTAAAATTAAACTGTAAACGAATTACGTAAGCGCTAACTTGCCGCGATATCGTTAAAACTGTTAAAATTAAAGAAATCTACTGCGCATGCACCAAATTTCGCCAAAAAACCGACTTCTTCACTTAAAAACAAATTCAGAAGGGTTACTAGATTTGGCACGTTTATCGATTTGGCGAGAAAAGACTTGGCTCGAGAAGCGCCCGATTCGACAAATCAACTCTACTTTCTCTCGTAACACTTGTAATTGACCAAGTTACTGTAACGATCTTGTTCAGGTGTTAAGGCGAGCATGTTTACAATAACACAGGTGTCGACCGGGAGCGTAGCTCAGTTGGTAGAGCGCTCGCTTAATATGCAAGAAGTACGGGGTTTGATATCCAGCGCCTCAAATTATTATTGTTTCGTGTAAAATATTCTTGAAATTTGTTTGATTTGCACAACGAGATATTTTACAATATTTCCACTCAGAATACGTACAAAGTATGCTACATTTTTACAAGCTTTTATTTAACTTGCAATGTAAAATATTCGGGTGGAATCTTGCAATTCAATTTTGAATCTGATGTCTTCAACCGATTGAGCTGAAATTTTGTATACATGTTTAATTTGAACGACAATGCATATTTTGGCCATTTATATCCCAATATCGCAATTAGTTAAAAAGACTAGCTGCATATACCCCAGCGTTGCACGGGCATTCTCTACTTTTATAAATTTTCCCTTTCCTTCACAAAATCAGCACTTCTAATACTCTTTATCAAAATGACTTCCACCCCTCTCCTCCGCTTAGTTCTGCGTTACTCGTGCTTTTAGCAAGTGTATAACTTAAAATTCCCTGTTTCGAAATTTTTTCGCTTCTTTTCTTTGTCAGTCAGGTTTATCCCCCCCTTTCCGTAGTTGCACGAAAATTTTTAAACGCATTACATATTGCCATGCAAACTCCCCTTCCCCTCTCGCTATCAGAGCTCTCGAGTAAGTTACCATTCACCGCTTCTTAAGCAGCTATATAGTGGCACGAAAAGTAATAAATTATTGCACAAAGGAAATTCTTAAAAAAAATTTTCGACATTTTATTTTTTAAATCACTAATTGTAAAAGATCAAAGTATGAATTTTTTGAAAATCATTTCCATATAAACGCATCGATATTGATTCATTTAAGTAAAAATCATAAAATATGTAAAGTATCGTTGTAATGTAAAAAAAAAAAAAAATTACTGTATCGTGGCGAAAAAAAATAAGCTTTCCAATTACAAAATTGCCGGCGAAGTTATTAAATTCGCGAATAAAATTTTGAGAAATTTTTTTTAAGAAATCATAAAAACTAAACGATGGGTTTTTTTTTAACCCAGGTAATAAGGTTACTTATCCAGCGCTCTAAGCGACCAATCCATGAAATATATTCGGAAAAAATAAATAAAAGACCGTTGAAATAAGAGGAAGAGATATTTAATTTTGCACTGCGTTATTTGTTGAAGTTTAAATTTGTTTGGGGTCTTCATTTTTAAGTTAATGCTTTCAAACTTCATATATCGATTACAAACACATTGGGAAGTTTTAAACAAAAAATGTAACAAAAATAACGCTTAAATATTTCTCGCAAAAAGGGAAAAAAAGCGAAAAACACGGGTTTTTTTAAAGCGTAATTTTTAAGCTATTTTTTCAATCTTTGTACAGATTACAAATAATATTGTTCTACACACGGAAAAAAATGTTTTCAAGAAATTATTTTTATAATTAAAAAAATTATTAAGTATTTTAATAAAAATTTGAGATCTTTTGAAAAATCGTAAAAAAAAACGTTTTTGGCATTTTATTTTTTAAATGACTGATTCTATAAAAGAGAAAAGCATGCATTTTATTAGTGTAGAATATCATTTCATTAACGTGAAAGAAAATGTAATCGGAACGATTTAGAAATCATTTTCATAAAAACGTATCGATTTTGACTGATTATAGAAACAATTGTAAAAAATAGAAAATATCATTATTTTCTAAAATAAATTATACCGTATCGTGGCGAAGTAAATGATCTTTCCGATTCTGTAATTATTTTTTGTCTGAGTCTCATAAAAATAAATTAGATCGTGTTTTAAAAACGTCTGATTGAAAAAAAAAGTTCAGAAAATTGGAACTTCGTCGCCTGGTGGGAAAAAATGGCAATAATTATGCGTTTTAAGGTTTTTAATTAATATCTTTTTAACTAATTGCACTTTTGGAATATAAATGGTCAAAACGGATTCCTTGGCTCATTCCCAATCTTTTGGTACCGTCGGGGAGTTTTGCGTCGTACGGTTCGTGAGAAGATACACCTAGTTTTATAGTCGCATACGTTTGCTTACTTCGAATTTCAATAGTGTAGATATTAATTAAAGTAATTTTTTCGGATGCAATCTTGCAAACGGGATAATTCTTTTTAAAAAGTAATGATATTTTCCATTTTTTACAATTTTTTTCTAAAATGAGTCAAAATCGATGCGTTTTCATGAAAATGATTTCTAAATCGTTTCGTATGAATTTTTTTCGTGTTATTGAATCGATATTCTGCACTAAGAAAGTTCAGGCTTTTCTGTTTTAGAATCAGTCATTTAAAAATAAAATGCTTAAAACTTTTTTTTTACGATTTTTCAAAAAATACTTAAATTTTTAGTAAAACATTTAAAAACTTCGTCATTTTTAAATATAATAGCACGAAAATATTTTTTTCGTTTGTAGAATAGTATTATCCAAATTCTGCACAAAAATTAAAAAATTTTGTTTAAAATTACGGATTTATAAAAAAAAATTGTGTTTTTCGTTTTTAATATAGTATTATAGTAAAAGCAAAAAAAAAAAAGAGTTTTAATATTTTAAATAATTTTGCTTTGTCCAATGTTGATTTGGTCTTCCAGTATTTATCCCCCTTTCCATTATCCTCTTGTTGCGGCCCGAGGGAAATTCCTATCATATATATGTGGCCTGGCGGGAAAAAAGGTTGAATACCCCTTAGCTGGACTGTTCTAAATTAACTGGCAAACGACCTTGCAACAATAATGCGTTAAATGAGATTAAAAGACTGAGAAACTTCTGTCCAGCGATAACTAAAAAGTAAAAAATAAATTAAAAGTAAAAAAAAAACTTTAAAAACATGCTTTTATTTAAATGCTCTAAAAAGAATAAATAAACTTTTCTTTTAAAACTTTTTTTTTGCTATCAACTGATAAAGTAGTTACACAATTTATGATATAAAAGCTTGTCTCTAGATTTACCTGGGTAGATAAACAAGTAAATTAAATAACTTGATGTGACTGATTTTAATTTTTAAAATTTTCAAACTAACTAAACACGAGTACATAAATCTCGCGACAAGCTTTTATATCATACATTGTGTAACGACTTTATAAGTTGATAGCAAAAAAAGTTTTAAGAGAAAAGTTTATTTTATTATTTTTAGAGCATTTAAATAAAAGCTTGTTTTCAAAAAGTTTTTTTTTTTTACTTTTAATTTATTTAAACTTGTTGTGGATGTCACTTGATGTTAATACAGTTTTTTTTAAATATTAATTCATTAATTAAATCTAAAAATGAATGAACAGGAACAAACGAAAATAATAGTCCAACAGCATATATAGAAAGGAAAATCGTTAGTTGTGTTCCTGTGGCACAATGAATAGCGCATCGGAATTCTATTCGTAATATTGTGGGTTGGAATCCCACCTGGGATAGAGTATAATTTTTGAGAATGTGATTTCTTTTTTACCATACTATTTTATTGGTATAATTAAATTGGATTTATGAATAAATAGTAACAAACAAACAAAAAATAGTCCAACACCCTACATAGAAAGGAAAATGGAAAATCGCTTTCTATTTTGTCACTTAATATTGTGATTCTGCCATATACATTTTTATATTAAATGTAATTATTGAATAAAAGTAACTAAAAATAAGTTTTTTCTGTTTTGGCCTAAGTAGGAATTGACTAAAAAGTTCTTTTTTTATTAATTGTTTAACCACATACTCTGGATAGCACAAAAACAACCAGACCAGTTCTGCAAAATTTCACACGCATGGTAAGCTTAAGTATAAGCATATTAACAATTTGATTGGGATTGGTTTTTTATTGACGTCCCACTCAGGAGCAACGTGTGGGATGTTGATGACAGATCTCTTAATTTTGAATCTCGGTCAAGTGGTGAAGATAACACATCCTACTCTGTATACTTCCACACCATACAAAGGATACAGTATTCTTTTTATTAACTGTGAAAGCGCCTTCTTTGGATAACAGTAAAATCGATGACGGTCTCATGATGAAAGCAATCTCGTGTTCTCCATTGAATTAAAAACAGATATTTAACTTGCATTTGCTGTTATATGTAAAAACTTATATATAACAGCAATTATTAAATATATAATTGAATTAAGTATACTCATTGCCATAAAAATTTGCGCACCAAGAAAAAGTCGTCAAAATGAACGAAATTTTACATATGTAAGTACTATTTTGATTTAAGTAAGTGATTAGAAAATGGAAGAAAAAGGATCATTTATTGCAGAAAAAAGTAGAAATGAACGGAAGTATTACTACTCTGTTGGACCCCTCTAGCGCTAATGCACGGTGCGATACAAACCGGAATTGAGACATACAAATTTTTCATCATATGCTGAGGCATCTCTTTCCACAGTTGCTGTAAACGCGTCGCTAGTACGACCTCGTAGGCAGTCCAACTTGCCGTCCCAAATGATCCCAGATATGCTCGATTGGTGACAAATCTGGGGATCGGGCAGGCCAGGAAGGGTAGTAACAGTGTGGAGGTTGTCTTGTGATACCCTTGCCGTGTGAGGCCAAGCATTGTATTGTTGAAAAATGGCTCTGGGGAGCCCTGGCATGAGTGGCAACACATGTGACTGAAGGATGTCATGGACATGCCGCTGAGCTGTCATTGCACCATGGATCAATATTAGGGGTAACCGTGTATAGTAAGCAATGGCTTTCCATACCATCACACCTGCTGTGGGAGCGGTAAGCCACTGTAAATCGAAAGCAGGATTGTGACGTTCACCACGAAGCCTACATACACTAACACGATGTCATCATTGCTCAAATTGAATCTAGATTCTTCACTGAAGACGATCTGGTTCCATTCCATTGTAGTCCAATCCCGTCGCTTGCGCCACCACTCCAAACGGAGGCGTCAGTGGGTGTGTATCATTGCTAACACACGTAAGAGGCCACGGAAGCCTAGTGGTCAAATGCACGTTAAATATGTCGAAGCTCAAACGTCCTCCCGTTCGTGTGTTGTGCAAATTAGGAGAGGAGGGGGCTAGCTCAGGTGTCATCCTCGCCACTTCACCATGGTTCAAAATTACGAGGTCCGTCACCAATAGCCCTCGAGCAGATTTATATTGCGGCTGAACTATCATTATCACTCTGGAAGAAGCAACATGTTGGCAGCAGCGTAGCTCTTAAATTCATTGCTTGGAAACAGGAGCTTGCATTTATCAAGTGAGTTTGACGTCACATGAATTTACCCCTTAACTCTTGTGAAACTATTTGTGTCCAAATTTTAAAAAATATTGCTTCATTAAAATATTTTTTTTAAAATAATAATAAGAAAAATATCACATTTCATAACGGCCAATAAATCAGTAAAATTTTAACACTATTAAAAAAAGATAAATCGGAATACTCAGAAAAAAAAATTTATCCAAAAGCAAGAATTTCGTATACCTTTCGGTTCATAATAATTAAATCTCGAACTCTAAATTTGCGTCACACTATAAAGCTGCCCGAGGGCTATTGGCAACGGACCTAGTAATTCTGAACCATGTGCAAGTGACAAGGATGGCACATAAATTAGCACCCCTTCCCCTAGCATCCATACCACACCAACGAGAAGACATTTGAGCCTCGACATATTTCACGTTCATCCTCCCCTCTGCACGGCGGGTCTTCAGTAGTACAAGGCTCGAACCCATGTGGCCCATGCCACGAGTTCTATACTTTGACCACTAGACTACGGAAGCACCCCGACTTTAAGAAAATTTACTCGAATTATTTGGTGGTTAAAGAAGCGATATCAGATTAGTAGCTAAAATTTTTCCCGGCACTTACGTATTGTCGCAACAATCGCGCCAACTCTATCAATAACTTGCCAAGTTGCAAATTTGATTTCCTATGTGTCGTACGCGCTGAACTGGCAACGAAGTGCTTCGTTTCATATAATGTCGCCAATTGGTTGCGATAATACTTAAGTATCGTTTTCCTCTCTCTCAATCTCGTGTAATATTTACAATTTGTGTATTCAAACTTTCTTTTCTCATACATCATTCAATCAATATTCCAAATTGCTTGAATTGATTTAAAAGAGAAACTATTAAACTTGTATTGGATTTATTTTTATCAGACTTCCAATAATCACGCTTATAAACAGGAGTTAAAGAAAAGTAAAATGACCTAATTATATACCACGTTACATAGTTTGTAGGACTGCTAGTGACAACAAATTATCCGTTAATACTTTTGAGAACAAAAGTGTAGGGGTAACTTGGCAAACTTATCACCTAGTTTGGCGACAGAAATAAACCGACGCCAGACAGTGTGCGCACTAAGCTAGATTTCAACCAAAGCCTTTCACATTTTAAAAACAATCTTTTTGACTGGAGAAGGTTGAAATGTATTACCAAAGCAAACATTGTCCTAAAATATTAAAATATTTTTAAACAAAAATGTAAACTTACTTCAAAATTCAGCGTATTCATATTTCATAATAGAAACCTTGAAAGCTCTATTTCGTAAGATGCAATTGCAACAATATTCAAGCATCGTAATCATGACATTGTACTTAAGTTGAAAATTTTTTCTCTTTTTCTATGTTAATTTCTGTTTGCATTTATTTACCTAGATTTTTTATCATAAAACGATTTAAAATTTAAATAGGCTCATTTAATAACAAATCCTAGCTTATTTTAGAGATCGTAAAAACTCCATATGTTGATAACTACGAGGAAATTTCGTTTTTGCTGTGATCATTTCAGTAATAATAAACGTGAACATTTCATTATTTCTGACATAAAGTGTTGCCATCCGTTGAGCAATAATAAGCAAAAATTTGATTCCCGTGCAAAAAAACTTATGATGAAAAATTAATTTCTTTTTTAATTTTGAAACATACGAATAAATTATCATGAATAGAAACCATAAAGAGAATATTCATTAAATAAATAATCATTCGTTAAAATTCATTAAAAAAACTATTCATTCGTCTCCAATAAACTATCAAGCTTTTATAACATATTTTAACAATCGAACTATCTTACCTGTGGATAGTACTGGCCGAGTATGAGTAGTACTTTGACGATTTTATTTACAAACGCCTCGTTCTATTTTTATCTTTCTTAATTCATATAAATTAGTAAGTTAAGCTTTTTGAACTACCTCATGCTGCCATCTAGTGGCTTTAATTAAAAGCAAAAAATATTTCTACTCTCTAAATCAGTGTTTCCCATAGTGTGGCACGCGTACCACCAAGGTAAGGGAAGAGTTTGGTGGATATGTCGCAGGGAAATGGTTAAATTAGGGATTTCATCAAATCCCTAAGGGTGATGATTAATTCACGCAAGATGTTAAAATAAGAACTCTGTAAGGTGATTTCCTTAAGGATAGTCAATGATTTGAACAAATCCCTAACCTTTTTCATTGAAATGATGAAATATTATTGTCAAGAGTTTAAAAGTGTTCATTTAGCAAATTTAGTGCATTATTAAAAGTATAGTAATTAATACAACAGTAATCATTGAATTACAAATTTTATTTCTTTGAAATTAATTAACAAAATAATTATATAATAAAGCTGGTATTTTTTTTTTAAATGGATATTTGTAGTAGAATTTCAAATATATTTTTTTTGAACTATACATTAATGTAGTTCTTCAGAAATATCTTGCTTTATTTGTGACACCTTTCTTTCAGTTATTATTTCCCTTTTTAAAATAGCTTTTTTTTTTCTTATCAAGTCTTTTTATTATCTATAAAGAGGGCGTGGTCGAATTCCCTAATTTGTTTGTTTACATTTTTCAATTTAAGTTTAATCCAGTTTCTAATTTTCAGGCATACAAAAGTGAGACATCAATCGAAAGATAATAATGCAAAGAATATAACTAAATAAAACTAAAAAATGGTACTTAGTACATTCTGTTTTCGTGAGTCACGTCAGATGCCCGGCGCTGCCTGGCACGGACGAAGAGAGGGGGGGGGGAGGTAAAAAGGAGTGGTAAAGAGCGAAAACGGAGCTCTACAAATGCTGACTTGTTCATTTTATCATTTCACTAAATTAGTTCATGGATTTGATCAAATCACTTACATTTGGGAAAGGACCTCAAAGAGACGTTATTTTAACATCTTGCGTGAATTGATCATCTCTCTTAGGGATTTGATGAAATTCCTAATTTCATCATTTTCCTGCGACAGATATACATTGCACCGTAGTTTGGTGGGAATATGCAAAAGTTCGACAACTGAAATTGATGCTGATACAGCATTTGGGCAGTTTGCGAGTGACTTGAAAAACTATATCCTTGATTTAAACAAAAAGATTGAATGGATCAGATATCCGTTTAACATTAACACAATCTCTATGCCAGAAGATTTGTCGCTTCTGGTAAAAGTAATTGTTGGAAATGGCTTCAGACGGATTCTTGAAAAATAAATATAAGGATTGTA